TTTATGAATTACATGTATTTTTTCTACAGTACCCACCCGTACTTTCCAGACTAGTAGGTGTTATTCCATAGAAGTTTTAGAAGGAATCTGTTTACTGGCTCTGAGTTTAAGTTTACAAATAGTTTTTTTAGATAACCTTTTTAAAATTAATCATTCATTAAATAGTGTAGGTCGGATTCAGGAGTGATCAACTGCGGTTGAATCCGGACCAAGATTCACAACGATCTTTCATCTCAAAGTGCTGAGCCCTGTTAATCTCTGAAGGGGGGGGGGTAGTTGTCTTCTCATTTTTTGGGATGGCGTGCTATGTTCGGCTGTTTCGATGTGACTGCTGTGGCTGCATTATGAATGGTTTTGGTACTGATGCCATGTTGCAATGGTGCGGTGATTAATTCGTAGCGAGACTCTGTATAATGAGCAAAAAGCTACGTTAACAGGAAGGATACAATTTGCAAGATCAGTGTAGCGTTGCTTCCTCTATTACATGATTATATTTTCAATAAATGCATACTCTTTGGACTCGTTTTCATCTCTCGTTACGAACTCCTCACCATGCTCTTGCATCCTTGTCAAAATATCAATGACATTCAAAATGCATCAAGAGCAGGCACGTCGCCAGCGTTAAAACACAACTTGTCATGTAAACAATAGCTACGTCAAATTTGACCTGACCAAAGGTAGCTCGCTTGAGATTCAGAATTGTCGTGGATCTTGCTCTGGATTCAATAGTGGTTGCTCATATCCTGAATCCCAGCTAATCCGTATATTTAATTATTAATATTTTAAAAATGTCTTTAAATCAGCTTATATTTATAAATTTAATGTAGAACCAGTGCTCAGATTTCTTTGAAAATTTCTTTGAAATAATTCCCGCTAATTTGGAAACGATTCTGTGATTACTGCTTTTAACTTGTTCTAGTCATACCTCAGTTTCATCATTTTTGTTCATGTAATTTTTATTCCGCCGAAGACATCGTCATCGATCACGTGAAATGGCTTATTAAATTTATGTGAGT